TTTTTTGTATTTTAGTCTACAATTTTTGATTAATAACTAAATATAGTATTCTCTTCCCTTGTGCCTGAAACTTGTAGGCCAAAAATCTAAAAATAATTATAGTTCCGCACAAGTTTTATAAATGTTACATACAAGCAAAATATTAAACGCATATATCTCTGACATTTATAGTTCCAAAGAAAACAAATATAAAGATCATTAATTTCTTATTTATGTATATGAGCCCTGAAGATTGTGAATGAAAATATATCTGTACTATTGTTATTATAGTTTTAATACAGCGGCTTAATAAAATTTTAAATTTTCAAAAAAAATGTAAGTATTACCTATGTGCATATTTACTTGCGTGTATGTTCAGAGAAAAAACAGTCGCTTTTTTTAAACAAAACAATCGGACTTTTAACGACGTGTAACCGCAGACTAGGGAAATTGCATTTGTTGCGTTATTTTGATAATTAAATTTAAATAATGGAGTAAATTAATTATCTAGCTCAGTGCAATTTCATTGCACAAGTTGTTTCAATTAATTCTGCGGTATGTACGAACTGTAAGGTAACGCTCACGGCACACGATAATTGAATAATCACGCTGCAGTGATATGCTTAGGAAATCACACATTTTCCTATGAAAATTTCTCTTTCATTTATTTGCATATCCATATAAAAGTTGTAAAATTAATTCCAGCTACCAAGTTGAAAACTATCATGTGATGATGAAATTCGTTCACTCAGGATTTTGCTTACCGCCAACATTCAAAAAACGAAATATAATAAAAAGCTATTTATATTACTATACTTGCAACTTGTATATCTAGGATTCCAGTTCCAATTAGGTACTTAAAAAAAACAATTTACTCACTTTATAATTGCATAAAATTATTAGTTACTTAAAAACAAACAAGTTCAATAAAGAGGCATTGTGAGATTAAATACTGAAACTAATTTATCTTCTTCGTTCAAAGTAATTCCATCGTACTCATGTTCGAGCGTTTTAATTTTTTATTCGGTTTATCAATTTGAGCGCTGTTGTACAGTTCCGTACGACTAAAGCGAACATGAGAATGCTTATTACATGATTACAACTAACAGTTAAAGAAAACTAATTTTACATTACAATGAAGACTTGAATTTTTTCAAATAATTTTTTGTTATCCTGAAACAGTATTGTTTCACTACCACTGTGACTTTGTTAGATAACGACTTAATAAAGTAATTAGTATATTTTCTACTGATTCACATATTACGTAATTGTTTTACTTTCTAGCAGTTATCAGTTATATTAGTTAATTTAGAAATTTGTTGGCTAAAATTAATGAACGATAATTTTTTAACGGAATACACACTGTTTACTACATAAACAACCATGCCCTTGGTTCATATACGTATTGTTTTGTAACCTCATTAAGCTTTTATTTTATTTTTTTAATAGGTATATATATATTTTGAAAGATACACGAAAAATCGAGTCGCCTGGAACTAAACTAGAGATAGGCCGGGTACTAGGTTTGGATACTAGCAATGATACTAGTAACAATGATAACTTAATAAGTATAACAAAAAAAACCTACCGAATAAGGGAGAAGGAGAAGTATTGCTTAACGTGACGCGATATAACAAGGGAGGAAGAGAATCTACGGAAATGTGACGTTTGCAGTTCATAAATTTTATTTTAATTCTTTTCTTAAATTGACAGTTCTTAAAATTTTTCATTACGAAAGTCGTCATTCTCATTGCTACTTTTAATCACAAGAAACCGTTTATAGGGAGGGGTGTGAACTAATTAAACTAAAAACTAAAATAGGTTTCGATACTCAGGGTGTCATCCATGTCTCTAATAAATGAGAATATGACATTTCGGATGCCGGATGGTGGAATATTTGGAATACTTCGTTTAGTTTCTGTAGCGATGTGACCTTCAGTTTGACCGACGCAAAGTAGAAAAGAATAGCACTAGGCCAGAAAAGAAAGGAGACAACTCTCGGTCAAACTCTTAACCGGTGAGGAGCGTATAATCCGTACAGTACTGCAAGGAAAAATTGACCATTTTATCCACTACAATTGCATTACTCAAATGTGCTGTTATTGGTACCATTTACTACTGAAAATATCAACGAGATGGTTATTTATATTTGAAGACATATTAAAAGCTTTAACGCTTGTTTTCGACTCGCACTACTATTCATGATTGAACAAAACTTTTGGCAGGTACTGTATGAAAAAGTATGTTTAATGAACAAGAATCGAGAGTATAATCACCTTTTTTCTCCCTACCCACGATTTTGCCAGCGCGCATCAAAGACATTGGAAGGGAAATATCGCTAGAGAAAGTAAATGAAATATAACAGTGTTTCGTTTATTTTGAAATATGTCCACATCTTCTATACGGAGCAGTACATACTACCGTTCGTAGTTTCTCAACATTCCGACCGACCAAATGGCCATCAGAAGGATGAGAAGTAGAAGTGTACATGCCCCCTGTAATTTTGCGACCATGCAGCTTGGCCCAGCCACGGCTATAGCCAGCCAGCCAGCCAGCCAGGCCATATAACTGAAGCATGTCATTATTTACCTGGTGAGACAAACGGTCTCTACGGGTTGGCTCGTTGTAGAGCCCAAAAGGTCTTTTATCCGTCGGCCGCGACGTTGTCGTTAGACGCAATCATGCCAGGAGTTAATCACGCTATAATGGATGGGTATGCGTATAGTTTTCGGAAGAGGGAAACGACCCCGGTCACCGTCATATGTGTGTACGGTCGCGTTTCGTAATCACCCACCACTTTTCCGCCGCCGTTAATTCATCTCTAATTTCAGTAATTTACCAACCGAAATTAGGAAGAAGGAATTTTGTAATTGCCCTGTGTATAACACAACATCTACAGAAAGAAAATTTGAATTTAGATCGGTATCGTAATTTTATAAGCAGCAGCTTTGTTTAAACAACGAATTTACATTCGAAACGATTGGCCAACATTAGACATCGGTTTCGTGGGAACGAATGCCCAAACAAATAACGTCTTTTCAGAAATATCTAAGTATGTTTTCGATTGCCTTCTCAACTGCGAAAAATTTGTAGGTGTTAAAATCGATTTTATTGTTATCCTTACCCAAATGGTCACCAACATTTAGATAAAGTTACGGGTTTAATGTCATAACTTTTCTACAATCACATCAATAGAATCATAATCGTGACAATTAGGACATTTTTAAATGTCTGTGATGTTTAAATGTAATATTGGAGGTTTAAGTGGTGGATCCCAGAGAAGAATATGGGAGAAATTTTCCTTCCATGACTTATGGAATCCTCTAGTAAAGCCGTGTACTATTAACGCGATACATGGATTTTGATTGGTATAAGCAATAAAAACCTTTTAACTTAAAAAGCCTTAATGTCTAATATGATCTATTTATGATTCTAGAGAAACAACAGTGGAATACAAACTATATAATACATACAATTTAATCGATTGGGATTTTCTTGTATAAATATTTCTATTATCTTTTATCGCAGACCACCTACACGTATTTATTGCACTTAATTGTTAATTCAGTATGCGAAAAACATACGTACATAAGAATGCTTATTAGTATGAAATGTATAGATATAACAATGCCGCATAGAAACCATCTGTTTTGAAACTAAATTATCTTCATTTATACAAAAGTCATAACTTTAACTATAATTGAGTGCTAGGTGTAGTTCGAAAAAGTGCATCACGTAGTAGAAAACTCGGCAATAAATTAGTCGTTTGTCCGTATGCAAACTGCTTTAAAATTGTAAAACAATCAAGTAGGACATGCTTCAACTACTTAGAAGAAGAGTTTACGTGTGGGGTAGGTGACTAAATGTTATTTTGCACATTGACAAATAAAATAATAATAAAAAACGACAAAACCAATATTAATACTGTTTACCATCAGTTAGTATCAAAAAATAAGTGATTTATGATTTACGACATACATTATCAGCCAATTTTGTTAGACTTCTCGTTATGATGTAAAGCAGTAGATATGTACAAATAATTATATACTGTTAAACTGATAATGACAAACTCTACTTCGATGTGTGCATAAAAAAAATAATTTCTTGTTTATTATGTCAGGCTATGAAACAATCTTTATTAAGACAAATAACTTTAAATTAAATTTCTGAAGTATTTTTGAATTATTATTTTAATTTGTACTACTTTACATAATTATACGAACATTCTTCATATTGCAAAAATCAATTTTTCACCATAACAAATGTCAAATAAAAGTTATGAATAATGAAGAACATTTTTTTCACTGAACCACTTATCATTTTCAGTTTTCTTTCCGGTTGTGTAATCATATCTTTAACTTTAACACGACAGCAAGAAGGGAGGACCACAATATTCCAAAATACCAACTTTTGATGTATAAGTATTTGAAAGTAATTCACAAAGATACGTATCATGTTCGAAAACATTTTCCAGGATATACAATAATTTTTTGAATTTGTGCACTTTTTTAAGATACATATATACCATTTTACAATTTTTTTATTTGAAATGGTTAATAGATAATAAGGATTAATTTATAATGCAGAAAATGAAACAAAAATTGTATGTTTTGTTTTATCTACGGTCCATTTAGCTGAATCTAATTCATTGTTAATTGATTACTAATTATTTTCATTTATATTATAGGTAAGTTAAATAAATTAGGATACCAAGAAAGTAGAGATATTCATTTTTGTTTTCTATTTCATCGATTGTCAATCGTGTAATTGCTAACACCTCAACTTAGTAATTCAAGGATTAGTTAACTTAATATCAATCAAACGCTCGTCGAATTGTAAAAATACATCTATACTATTAACTAGGTACTTGATAACATATGGGAAACAGATTTATAATATGCACTTCATTCGAAGTACGTATGTTGGACTATCAGGAAGTTCATTTCTATGGGACTGTCACATTAAACGAATGCATCTCGTTAGCCATCTACAATTAATTAATGCTTCGTTTCTTGTTCCAGATTACGTACGATGTTTCTGCAATCTGCCGGTGTGCGTGTCATCGGGGTACATGTGTAAATCAGGCGGAGGCGGCTGTTTCTCCGACGTCCAAGACGGGACATCGGAGACGCGACAGGCGCCCTCCTACCAAGGACGACACGGATGTCTAGAGCTTATCACCGACAAGTGAGTTACCTTCTTATTATACGGAATTTAGTGAATGTGTGGAATATGGATTTTTAAACATTTCAATCTGAAAATGCCATCTGCTATGAAATCTGTCCTAAACTAAGTCTCAAAATTTTTGAACAAACTATTGCACCCTTCAACGCACTAAAATGGCTTATATTAGATACTTTATTATTTATTTATATGAAAAGACGGCTAAAGATATTTGTACGAATTTCCCTACACCACGTCTTATTTTTTTGAAATTTTTCTTCTTCGTTTTTTCGGTATGTTCAATACTAAAAATGGTAAAAGAGAAAATTAAATAAATTATTTCCATGGAAGATCCAATTTTCTAAAAGAAAGGTAGTCTTGTAAAAATATCGGAAATTACTTCGTTTTTGAGTTATTTAGAGCTTACAAAAACCAACACCGCAATATAATAATTTTATAAATATAACAAAAAATCTACCTGATTAAAATTGATAATTAAGATTGTGTTGGGATAGGTCCTAATCTATATTATTTATTGTAAATTATTTGTTATTTCGATATAGTTTTTGTGAATTAAAATTTCATTGGTTTTAGTATTTACAAACGACTTTTTGAAAGGGATTTAATGGGTGAGGGTGGCATTTAATGGAAAGCGTGTCTGTCTTAAAATCAAACTAATAAATTAAGACAATTATCTTATTTTCTTTTATTGTTTTACGGGGCCTGCCATCTTCTGTAATCTGTCAAACTTACAGTTTCACCCTCGGTTTTACTAAAGAATATTAGAGACAGGAGAAAAATAATTTCGAAATAATCCGAAGCGATTACCTAATTTTTCAACTAGTAGGGTCTATAATAGAGTCCGCATGTATAGTGATGAATATTATATGTAAAAGAAATTATGAGTGCTGCCAGAACAGAGCAAAGTAGTATTACGTATTTAGTATCAGCAATTTCTTATGCTAAAGTGTACGATGTTACATACCTATTTACAAACAATTCCTTTAAATTTTAATCATTGATTACTATACATCTATTAAAAACCATAATGGCCGACATCAGTGACAATGCGACAACAATTGAAAAAGAATGATGGCCGACAACAGCAACAATTAGAAAAGAATGATGGCCGACAACAGCAACAATTAAAAAAAATGATGGCCGACACTACGTCATACTTTTGTTGACAAAAATGAATTTCGACCACTCGAAGCAATGGTGCTAGCAGTTTCGAGCTGGCAGTGGCTGATAGGGGGGGAGAACTAGCACTTTTACTATATTGTCGCAAAAATGTAAACGTTTAATACGAATAAATTAATGTAAATGATGTTTTTTCCACGAAAACTTCTTTTAGACTAAATTGAAAAAGTGAATGTAAAAATCTATAGTAATTAACCCGATTTTGAGGCGACATTAAGGTGACGCAACCTTACACTCTTATCCATCTTGTTGAAATGTAATTTTGATAATAGATAAACGTTAAACGCTTTTCAAATCCTATTAGAGAAGATGAGCAGTGAAAAGATTGTAAATGACTAATTGTTGCTACATCTACAGTTACGTTTGCAAACATTTAACCTACATTTGAAAACTTGTATGTATAATCCCTAATTACTTCAAGATGAGCGCATTTATAACGTTAATCCTCGACTTTCCTTTCGGCGTACAATGTAATAATGGAAAAATAGTAAACACTTGATGATAAGAGTAGCAAAAGATTTTAATGTGCTTATTAATATCATTTAGTTTTTTGTACTTAAAAGCGCCTTGGGAGAGGTTTTCAAAAATTACTTTGGAGTTGTAGAGAAGCAAAAAAATTGATGAAAACCAGATCCGAGTGGAAGTACATTCACCAGAACGAACGCATCGAAAATGATGAACGCTATATATAATCAAGAAAGAGAACATGCGTCATTCTTCCATTAACCCCAACACTTGACACACTTACTGCCATACAAATTCACGAACATGTTAGAAACTCAATTGGTCTTCAGATGACACGATCTAAGAGAACTGCACATATTATGTTATAAAAAAATTGCGAAAAAAATTCATGACTTAATGTAAGTAACAGAAAGAAGGAGACTTAAAAACGCTTATGATTGGAATAAATCATCAATCATTTATTTATGACAGTTGTAATCGTGAAGTTGTCGGTAGTACCTAATTTAAATTTAAAGTGAAAAACCACTGGCATAAACTTCAGCGAACATTAAAATGCACTTAATTAATGTTTTGAGGTTTTCACAATGATTGGTTGTCGTTTTAATAATATTCAGTTCTGTACCCGTAAAGAAATGAACTTCAAAGCTCCTTAAATGTACGCATACATTACATATAATCCACATAAATAAAAACTAACCCAAAACATAAATAGTTATAAAATGCGGTTTTATATAATTTCTATTATGAAAGAAATTTTAAATAATATTTATATTGTTCTATAATACTTTTCGTTTAATTAGGTATATACAAGTAGACAATTTCTGGTATTTTCGATTAGCGAATTTCCGAGACAATTTTACGAAAACTTGACTTTCTTTTCTTGGAAATTGCTTAAAATAGTCTACTTATGAAAAACAGATGAAAAAATCTAGCGGAAGGTGTTTTACACAGAGAAAGACCATCTATTTCGGTAAATCACCCTAGATCCATGCTTCCATATTTCTGTACACAAAACACTTACCATAATCTTATGATCCAGAACACATGACAATTATGCTGAAATTTTACTTGCCCAATAAGTGTATTGTTAATTAATTTTTTTTTGTTAAAAGATGCGACTTCTGCTGTGTCTAACAATATCCGGCTCGAAGGACCAACCGAAGAACGCCTTTGTTTTAATAGCTTAGGAACATAACAGAAGGTTTTTCTTTGTTTAAAACATCTTCCCTCGATTTTTTATGTATGGTTTTTCATAACTAGTGGTTTTAAGTCATTTCCAAGAAAAATAAGTTAAGTTTTATCCCATAATCATATAAAAAGTAAACTTCAAGAATCAATCTTAAATGCAAAGTTTGGATAAATATCTACACCTAAAAAACGAGAATCAGTAATAAGTACAAACGTTCAAGAACACATCTTGTGTAATTAATTAAAAATGCACAGCACACATTTTATTTTCAACTATGAGTAACCAACTAGTTTCGCCCCCCTTCAGAGGTCGAATTTTCTAAAATACTGGAATAGGGGTTTAACTATTTATATCAAAAAACATTAAGATCAAGTTTCAAGTAAATCAGACCACAAACAAAACATAATATTAATATTAAATTAATTTATGATTAAGTATAGAACAATTGGTCATATAGATCTGTATTACAAGTTGTGAAAAAAAAAGCGTTTTACACTCGGCATTCTGCCCTAGATTCGGTCCAGTTGGTACAAAAACAAACAAACAAATAAAATGCCGAGAGACTATATAAATCGAAAGAAAGATCCCGTTATCACTTATTATGGTCCAGATAATTTCAATTAATTACGCCTTGTACGTACATACAATCGTACGACAATAACAGCAATTAGAGACAAAAGTCCGTAGGCGAATTAACGATTAACGACTATGACTCTATTGTCCGCAATTCATAAATATTTATTTATACGGTTGAGAACTTTATTATTTGCTTTTCGCGTTTTGTATAAAGATGACTCTTTGCCAGCTTCGCAGACGTCTCTATTAAAATAATGATCACAACGGAGTAATGTTTGGAAAGGAATACGGCACAGAAAAAGGAGTGTCCCTTTTGTAATGTCCTAAAGGAAGTGCAGGCTTTTTCCTTATTGGCAGATTCGCAATGAAGATCAAACTTTTTTACGAATAGATAGACTATTGGACAGGGATTTTAGTAAGGAACTGTTGTTAAATATGTTAGTTCGACAACCAAAAATGATAAAATCGGAAAGTGCTACTAAATATGAAAGTGCGTTCTTGAGATCCAATCGAAAAAAAAAAACATTTTTTAGTTTTTTGCGCTAAATCAAAAATCTTACACTAGGAATTTTTTACAACAATAGTTTTTTGTAGGAAATTAAATTTTCCATCGGAATGCTGTGTTGAAAAATTCATTGGCTATTTTTAGTGTGAAAATTTGATGAAAATCACTTTTTAAGTATACCAATATAAAGCTTTATAGAAAAAAAAGCTCATGAAAAGTCACAAATTTTGCCATTCTTTTGAACTTTTTGAACCGCAATTAAATATTTAATTAAGGATAAACTGATCAATTCGTAATGAATGAACGAATAAACATTTTTATTATCTTTTTGATAGGCTGATACAAGTTATAAACTAATTGTAAGATCGTTAAACACATTCCGATCCACCTGTGCGTGTAAATAGGTTTATATATGCTAATGAAGTCAAAATTGATTTGATATATTAAATTAGTTAATTATCTTGCACATTTATATTACCTACTAAAAAAATAAGACCAACTAGATCACTTTATCAATAACCAATACTATTAACCTAAGAAACCCAAAATCGAATGACTACTGTTTTTCGATTAATTGATCGTTTCTCATTTCTGTAATTAAAATTGTTACATCAGTCGATAAGTAAATACGTTAAGGCAGGTTGCGCGTAGCACGGCAAGAATAAATTGTAATGCATGAACCAAAAATTAGGTACCTTAAAATTGGAATACCGTTTAAAAATAGATACTAATGGTCAGTTATACTGATATTCATACAAACATGCGTACCATCCTATCTTGTATGTGTAGTAGGGGTAGGGTGCGTCAACAAAAGTGACCGGGTTTGTCATTCCAAATCGATAGATAATTGAATTGTAAAACAAAAATTATTATTCCCACAGATTAATTCAAAGACCGATCTCATCGAATTTTAAAGTATAATACGCGAAAAATTGCTGTTTCATGTAAATAGCTCTAACATTGGTTAATTTGGCCGTAGGAAATTTCACAAAGGTTTTAAGAGAAAATAAAAATTTCGCAATGCTATTTATGAATTAATTCACGGAGAAAACTGAATTTTTATGCCAATGCAAAAATTACAATTTTCGA